CCTCCAGCGAAAATCCACCTACCGCGCCGGAAAGAGGAAACCACGCTGCTCATTCTGGACGCTGAGCCAAACGTTTCTCGCTACAGGTTCGGCGGTGAGGCGCGAAACTAAAGTTGACGATGTTTGAAAACCAGTACACGGTGGACATTTTTTCATCCAATAAAGCAGGAGGTGTGAATCACTGGAATAAATTGCTATCCAAGGGTGTCATAAAAGATTGCCAACGGAACAAAAGTCTGTTCGCGGATTTGCTCTCCGACAAATAGTTCAGGAGATTTTCGCCCTGGAACACGGACTTTTTGGACAATGGACAGCACGGAAGTAACATTTTGCCTAGTTTTAGCATGTTTTGACAGGGAAATGCTTGAACTGCATGCTCGGTTAGTGTGTGGGATAGCACGGCAGATAAAGCCCAGTCATAGGAATCAAACCGCAGGTCGATACGTTGAAAAATAAGGAAACTGTTGCCCAAAGACACAAAAGGACCCACAATTTTGGCAACTTCCCCTAGACAAATCAGTAGTGACTCATCAGCGTAAGAAATTTACCACATCAAATCGTGTGAAAATTTGCCCCTGTGGCTCGGTAAAGGAACAAAACCGAGTCAAGTGAGACTGCGAATTGACGAAAGAAAGTGACGTTCCGCATCCAAAGGACAATATTGCTTCTCTGGCACACAAATTTACCCTGCTAGTGCATGGGCAAATTCACCCCTCCACAAGGTTAATAAGAGCCTGCGCATCCATTGTTAGAGGAAAAAAATTCTCACGTCCACTCTCATTCTAGGAACGTGACATCACGTTGAAACGAACGTGACAAACTGTTCCAACGTGATGTCACGTTCCTGGAATGAGTGTGTCATCGTGAAAAATTAATCCACATAGTACACGGGTAACTTTACCCACAATTTTTTTACAGTGAGGGTCAGCGTCAGCGCGTCCCGTGGCCGCACTCGCGTTTGCACTGGACTTACTGCGCCTGTTGTCCCGTACTCGTTCCCTCCTGAAGCAGGCGTAGCAGAGTGTTGGGCCGTCACGTGGTGGCCGCTGCGTGGGGGTCTTGCACTTGTCGCAGGTGGAGCTGCCTCCGGCTTTCATGGCGTCGTCCGGCTTCTTGTCTGGCGGCCTTGGCGGCGGCTTCCTTGGGGGCTGGGCACCGGCAGCCGGCACACTCACTATGACACTCTTCATGTTGGGCATGGCGACGCTCGGCTTGTGTTGCCTGGGCTTGTCTCGGCTTGTCTCGACTTGTCTCGACTCGGCTTGGCTGCAGACTGTTGTGGCTGCAGGGTGGCCTGACGCCCGGGACACCCTGTGCCCCTAGCCGGTCCCTGTCGCCTAGCACTACGCTTAGCCAATCACAGCGGAGAGCGGCCGGAGGCTAGGGGGCGGCAGGGGGGTGGGCTATCGAGGGGGTTGCAGAACGCGGCCGGCTAGAGGAAAGAATCTCCCGTGTAGCTTACCGCCAAAGCCTCCTCCCTGTCTGACCGGTAAAACCGCTGCCACCACTGTTGTAAACCCAAAGGTTTATCAGGGAGGCAGATAAATCAGAGAGGAGTTGGCTAGGACAAATACGGTTGTATTTCGAACAGTAGCAATCAGTAATCAGATCAACTCGTCTCGGAGACCGGCGTCGCGTAGCTGCTTCCAGTGCGGCGGTTCAAGCTCGAGTGTCGGTCCTCCCCAGCGTTGCCAGAAGCCGAACAGCGCTCGGTGGTACGGGGAGGGGGAAAAGGTGGTACTTCGGGGCTCTTCGGTGGTACGCGAGGGGTGGGGGAAAGGTGGTACATTAGAGCCGTATGGTGGTACGGAAAGGGAGGGGGGGCTTAAAATTTACGTTAGGCGTAAACATCGGGAATTTAGAATTTGGCCAAATTGAGAATTCTGAAGAAGTCAGCGGCGGCTCCTCCGGCCGGTGTACAAGCAAGCAGGCCCGTTTTGTTGCCCGCTTGCCCAGGGCGGGGCCCAAAAGTGGCACTGCACTTTCAGTTTCCCGCGTCCGACCTGACCGATCAGAGCCCCTTTCCTTGGAATAGGTCACGGACGCAGGCAAAGGATTACACGCTCGATTTCTGGGGGACGACATTCCGACCCAGGCGCCCGAAAAGTTCCATTTGCCTGCGTGCGGACCTAATCCGGTGTTTTCCCGGAAAAGGTGGTACGGAATCGCTCGGTGGTGGTACGGTGGTACGGGGCTCGAAATAGTGGTACATGTACCACCAAGGTGGTACGTCTGGCAACACTGGTCCTCCCGGCCCGGCGGCGGTCGCTCGGCTCGGCTCGCTGCTGCCCGCTCGGCCCGGTCCGGCCCCTCGGCTCCGCTCGCCCGAGGCTCGGCGCGGCGGTGATTGGCTCGCCGCCGAAGCAGCTGCTGTCCCCACGTTGCGCCTGCCAGGACGGCCGGGTCCTCTTATTCACAGATCGCCCTGCGCACACACCGCGTGTGTGGGGAACGCGCCGACATTCCTCTGCTACAAAATGTCGCACTCACAACACTATGTATGCTCAAAATTCTTCGTAAGGTTTACACTGAAAATTGAATAGCGAGACTGATGGCCAAAATTTGGTGTGACAAAAAAGTCTCGCCATTTTTTGGCGAGAAACGAAAGTCTCACCATTTTTTTTTGGCGAGAAACAAAAGTCACCATTTTTTGGCGAGAAACAAATGTCGCGCCAAAATATGGCAATAATTGCAGCCCCACTCTATTTGATGCTGGGAAATATATCCCAGTCAAGATCACTCCGGTAAACACATCACTAACTACAGTCTTTCAATTACTCAAGTTGAAAATAATACAGGAAGCTATCACTTTCAGTTATGAAAATATTAATGTAAGGTTATATGATGTGAATTTGGTTTGCGTCAACAAAGCGTTGCCCAACTATTTACTCTTTTTGTCAAAAAGACATTGGTCCAGTGAGTCAGATCCTTAAAGTTCTCTTTCAGTGTCCATGTAGTTCAAGATAATGTCTTTAATAAGAGGCCTAAACAAAGCGACATCCATGATGACACAAGTTCTTACTCACTCCTTTGACTCATTCCAATCCCATGCTAACCTTGCTGCACTTAGGCATTGTTGGAAGTTCCATGGACAGAACTCGGTTAATAAACTCGAGGTAAGAAAGTTCCGTGCACTATCTACACACTCATTCCAGGAACGTGACATCACGTTGGAACGAACGTGACAAAGTGTCACGTTCGTTTGAGCATTGTGTCACGTTCGTTTGAATGTGACCGAGCTGATTTTCGGCCAATTCACACCCAAACGAATGTGACACAATGCTCAAACGAACGTGACAGTTTGTCACGTTCGTTTCAACGTTATGTCACGTTCCTAGAATGAGAGTGTAGCACTCTCCGTTTCGCCGTCTCCACTGGACAAAATGCCAAAGTACAGCAGCACCACTTTAAATCGCCAACACCGATATAATAAAGAAAACATTTTAGTGCACAGACAAGCAACACAGCAACAGGACTGCCATGTTGAAATTCGCTGTCCTCGTTGTGTCGTCTGCTACAGTAGCATTTGCTTTGCGGTAGTGCCAACCTGTACTGCCTTCCAGAAGTAATTTTACAAGAAAAGAAAAAAATCTCATTCAACGAACGTTAATGAAAGCAGATGATACTCGTTAGGTTTTCTTATATGGGGTAGTATGCGGACTCGAAACAAAATGCTTAGACCAATTGAATACATAGACCCGAGCGAGCTGACCGGTGTTAGCCGTGCCGTGGCCTGCACCGCCCGCCGCCGAGTCCGAGCGCCCCGGGCAGCCCTGGGCCGGGCCGAATCGGGCGGCATTCCGCGCCGTGTCAGGCGGGGAGGGATTGTCAATGTTCCGCGCAGGCCGTCGCGCGCCAGGAAAGGGTGCCATTGTTAACGCCCGGTGCCGCTGGCGCTGTATCGGGGAGGGATTGTCGAATTCAGCGCAGGCTGCGCCTCACCGCCAGCCAGACACACCAGCCCGCCCCGGCAGCCAGCCCCTAATATATTGTTAGGATACACGCTTGGTTTCTGGACTCGAGAGTAAAAGCACGCTGACACCTTCATGTGTATAGTAGTTTTAAGTGTGTTTCAAGTGTGAAGGTATCATCTGCTAAAAATGAAGGGCGCCCTTCTCTCAAGGTTGAAGTGTTGTGTGCAGTGTGCCTAGGTCGGGTTGTTTTGAACTTAAAACACATACTTACACACTTCTTATAACAACACATACTTATAAGTTTGTGTTGCTAATTCAGTTCCGTTTTCTTTGCAAAGTGGTGTACCGTCTGCAAGAGAGACCTCTGAAAGAGTCCTTTCCGTCCACATTTCACGTCAGCAAGCAGGTTAGGTTAGGTCAGCAAGCAGGAAGCGTCTCTCTGCTGGTCCCCTCTGCACCACTTTCACAAAATGCCTTGCGTGAACACAACCCTTCCGCACTGCAAGAAAAAATGTGAATAGTACAACAAATGTACATCAAAAACTGTACAATAAAAGAACAACAGGGATTGTAGAAAGTACACGAGAATTGTACAAACCACAACGAGGCTTGCACTGCCCAGCACTCGTCATGCCGGTTCCATTGTACTTTGTACAACAATTGTTGTTGAGGGGGTAACGACTGGTAAATTTTGTGTCAGCCGGACTAAGGATTACCTCGGATTACCCCGGATTACCCCCAAATTACCCCCGGATTACAACAAAAAAATCCTGGATTACCTTTGGATTTAGCTGGATTACCCCGGATTACCTCAAAATTTTCCCAGATTACCCCGGATTACCTCAAAATTTCGGGTTATCCAGATTGCGGATTACCAATTTGCTGTCAGCCGGATTCCCGAAGTCGTCACCCCCTCGATTGTTGTACTTTAAAAGTACATTAAAAACCTGATAAAAAATTTGCCAGAAATTTGTGTACTTTTGTTGTGGTTATTTCCTGCAGTGCGGACTGCGCCTACCTTGCTCTGCGACTGGGTCCTTTTGTGGCCACATTGGGGTATCATTATGCATAATTGCTTATCTACAGGGGCTCATCGACATGAGTGACTCGTTTCTTGTTGAAATGGAAAATGCTCACCAATTTGGCATGCTCAGTTGCATGTCCCACCACCCACCTTTCACCGCCTCAGAGGAAGGTGTGCATTTCAATATATTGAATGCATTCTCGCTGCATGTCATGTCGATCAATGCTAATTTTTTTCACTCAGGTCTACAGCATTTACTGGACTGTGTGCTTGTGGACTTACGAGACACCATGCGATGCCTCTTGGTCAGCCTGCCACCTCATCCAACAAGAGAGTCAGGGGCAACTATTTTAAATCTTATCGACTACCTTTGAACATGCAGGGCTCTCTTAATTTCGACGAAACGGCAGCGGTGTTTGTAAAGCCATGTCGTGCTCCCGGCCGCTGGCGGGAAGCATCGTTTCACGCCCCGCCTGTTGCCACGACTTGCTTGCCCTCAGGCTGTGGACTGCCAGACGCAGCGTCATGGCATAAAGTATGTAGCGTACTCTACAGTTTAGCGATGACTGAAACAATTGCTCCCCTAGCCAATATCCCAAATAACTGCAAAAATTTCTAGAGGATATATCAAGCAGCTCGCCGCGACTAGGTCCTCTTTTATCCGCTCGCGCAGAGATGGCCGAAACCTCGTTTTACGAGAACGATATTGCAAGACCAACCCGCATTCGAGAATGATTCAAGTTTAACACCCGGATGAAGGCACGGCGGTGCCACACTCCCCCCGAGACTTCTTTGCGTCTAAAGCTCTGACGAGTTCTTAGTTGCAACACGATTGATTTCTTGACCAGAAGAAGGTGAACGCAGAATAACACACAATCAGGTGCGGTAGAAAGAGTAGGAGGATTTATTTGAAACACCGGTATCTGGATAAAAGGGAAGAACATCAGGAACTACGACCAACGATATCTTGATAGAATGTCTCCATTTTACCACGGATAGATATTTCATGCCCCCACTGCTTAGTGCCACCTTTGCCAGTTTGAGTAAATTAAGGGTTGTCGGAGCTCTGTGGCTTGCAAAGTTGTCCTCAGTTTTAGTGACTTGACGAAGGTCCTTACTCATGACGTAGGCTTATCTACAAATCGAACATCTCGCAACTGCAGAACCAGAATGAAAAAGTTGACAATAGAGCTCAATACCTGCAATTTGTGAAACAAAGAAACAACATCAATACTCAAAGGAACGAGACATTTTGTCTTCTTCGTTTCAAAGTGATGTCACGTTCCTGGAATGATAGTGTAAAATTTTGCCACCAAAATGAATGACGGTGACTCCCTAGGCCGTAACACTCTTAATTATTGCGTAGTTTCTTTGTGCGTAAGCTTTGCACAAACCTGTGCATGCGTTTTAAAATGCATGAGTAAGCGGAGCCAAGCACGAAAATGTGCGTTGTGGCGCATGAGATCGTGCGTTCCACGCGCCTGCTCAATTTCGTGCAAAAGCTAAGCTCATGAAAGAAGTTATGTAGTGCTACATAGTAATGAAGTGCAATTGATATGCGTCCTTTTTCTTTCATCGCCGTTGTATTATTTATTAAGACAGTCACGAAACTTACCGTCACTGCCAAACCCAGGTCCAACGTCACTATGTCACAGAGGCGAACGGCTGCGGGGCGTCTTGTCAAATAGGAGCTGAGCTTTTCCAACTGAAAAATAAGATTCAAGTGCACAACAAATTACTAGGTAAGTTTTAATGCCTAGCCTTTGTACAATATTAAGCATACATGTACTCGTGGAACTCACGAATTTATGCGCAACAAAGCACACTTTCGTGCTTATCTACGCACAAATTCGTGCATTTGGAACGCTCACAGAATTTTGTGCTAAACTTATGCACAAAAAAACTACGTATTAACGCCTTCGCGTCGAAGCAAATTTTGGTGGAAAAGCCTAGATGTCGAAGTAGGGATGGATGTGCGAATCAAGGATTTTCATTTCGAATCGAATGGAATCTTTTTAAAAAGTTTCGAATCGAACTTCAAAAGATTCTGAATCGAATCGAAGTCGAACTGAAACTAGAAAAAGTAGTGCGTTTCAATACACATTTTCTGTAATAAAGGAAGGGCATAGACTTTGAATATAAAAGGAAGAAAAATTAAATACCTGATCTTGATCTTGCTTTGTTATGAAAACAACGCGAAGACGAACCACTGTCGATTCGAAATTTCGAATATTCGGGGTCGAAGCAAAGAGATCCGTCCCCGAATCGAATCAGCCCTGATTCGATTCCATTCGATTCCATACCGAACTATTCGCACATCCCTATGCCGAAGGTGCTAACTACCGAACCGTACGTCGCCAAAACACGGCACATGGATGTTCGGACTTCGTATGACCACCCGAACACCATGCACCAAAAATCTCCTATACGAGAACCATGATCTCGCATCGGCATTTGGGATTTTAGCCTACGAGAACATGGTTCTCGCACCGGCGTGAAGGTGTTGGGGTGACATTTTCAGACCTGATCATGCCTACCCGCCCAGAGGTATTGTTTGGGTCTTCAAACTTTCTTAGGGTGTCTCGGTAGCGAGTTGATCATCTACGGCGGAAGCACTCTTCAAAGCCACTCAGACGAGGAGGGCTACTAGCGCAAAGCGTTCTAAAAGCACTCTCAATACCTTGCGAAGAATGTGTTCGCATTACAAGCCATTTGGTTTGCGGCTTGTGAAGAGTTTGGCAATTTTGCGAACAATGCGTTTGCAAGGGTTCGCAATACAAACGGTTGTTCGCAAGTTGCGAACTACTGATTTGCAAAACGGATGCGCTCTTTGCATTGCGAATAAGTCAGGTTCTTCACAAGGTTACAAACACATCGGTTCTCAAGATTTTTAGAGTGAGGTGCTGACCATCATGTCTATGGATGATTGCGCCTTCCTTAAAGGTTCAAGAGTGCCTACCGAGGTTCCCTTGAGCTCGTGGCAATTGTGGCCACTGCAGGCATAAAAATCTTTCAATGCGGAACTTAAAATAAGTTAAATTCGTACTTTGTTACCTAAAAGGTCAAGGAGGTCAGATCACTAACGTAGCACTGCAAAGCCAGTGGTAAGTTTGCTTGCCACAAATTTGGCAAGCCGAATGCCAAAATTTGGCAAGCTTTGCTCGGAAATCTTCACAAGCTTGCCAAAGTTTGGCAACCTGGGTGGTATTTTCAGGCCAAACTTTCCAATTTTGGGCATTCAAAACGGCTTTGCCAAATTTGTGTCAAGCAAAACTTACCACCGGCTTTGCAGTGAGCGCGACTCCTTAAAAAACAAGAACGGTTTGTTTTAAAACAAGGAAAGATGGAGCACTTTAAGGAACTTCTCCGGAAGTGCGCTCCCATTCTAAGAAGGCTCCCTTCTTTTCCCCTTGTCCTTGTTTGTTATTTTTCCAAGTCATTTCCCTCTCCGGGTGCTGTAAACTCCTCAGATACTTGCCTTGGTTGATTCCTGTCCGGTCAAATTACTGACGCTTGCCAGCGAAGTGGCTATGGTTAAGGCTCTATTACCCTAAAAACCAAAATAACCATGTTAATTAAAAAGAGGCAATGTCTTTAAGATGATTAAACGCACTAAAAACTCTGTAAATTCAATATATCATGATTTACGACAAGTCATCTTCTTCGGGATGTTTCACAGAGGGCTAGCAAGACGTTGATGAAGGGGCAGGGATTCGGAGCAGGCGCGATGAGCTTACTTCATGAAGAGCGATTGTGCAGATTTTGCCTACCTACAGGGGTACGTGCGGGTTGCCCACAATCTGGCGTTTATAGGATGTGTTGGGGAAAAGGGGGGGGGGAATTGCTCCGTTGGTGCCATCCCCCCTGAACCACGCCTGATGCGGAGGTTTGGCTGTGCCATGATCTCTTACCTCCGAGGTCATTGTATTAGCTGCGTGTAGCGACCACACGACACAGACCATGTAAGTCAGCAGCTGTACAGCAACGAGTACATATAAAGCCAGAATATAGTGAGAATTTCTTTTGATGTCTGTCGTTATGTGCTCCTGAGCATTACTGGTCATTAAGAGTCCCCAAATGACCGACAAGCATATGTGAACCAGAACAAATGCTACTTGTGGGCCGAAGCACTCGCAAACATCGTCCAGGCATTCTGTCGTTTTCAGGTGGTCCTTGTGAACCTGGAATAAAACCATAGAACCATTCATTTGAGTTTTCAAAGGGTGCAACCTGACCTGTTTTAAGCTCTAGCTAAAAGCTAGCGCATGCCTGCCAAGTAAGGGAGAGTGGGGCGATTCGTAACAAATGCGCTTATTAAATTAAGTGGAGGGTGCAAAAGAAAATCCGAGATGGCCCCTCTTCCGCTTAAAGTAGAGGGTCCTTGAACAATCGAAGTGGGTGTGATCGGTGCTCAGGTATAGTTTCGAAGGGAGTCTGAAATATAAGGTGCTCTACAAACTGAAGTGTGTACTCAGTATGCATCTACAGATGCATACCTAGCTGAGTACACATCTACAAATGCATACCTGTTAAGTATGCATCTGTAGATGCATACTTGGCAAGTATGAATAAGTAGGTGTGTACTTATCACCATATAAATGCCCAGTATCAAGTACACATCTCCAGATGCATACTTCGCTGAGTACACATCTACAGATGCATAGTGAATACTTTGGAAGTTGTAAGGGCAAGAAAATATGGCTGATTTTGGTAAGGCTGCGTTAGGGCGGTCCACTCAGGAGTCACCCAACAAGCATCAGGAAAGTGGAGGGAATAAACAAAAAAGCTCAATCCATTGCACATCTTCTAAATAGCTAACACAATGTACATGATACATAATTGTGTCAAAGCAAAAATACAATTGGTTCAGTGTCATGGCGAGCAGAGTGTGCAGTTTTGTTACCAGCCAAAGACATCTGAAAGACCAGAAACGAACCTGCTCGATTTTATCGGTGATGTCCTGTCGTTTTCCTTCAGCTTGTTTCAAAGCTACGAGTTCATCATTTAGACGTTTGTAATTACTTCTCAAGGTATCCAGAGTGAACATAAAAAGTGACAGTTCAGCAGTTTCCAGGAGCTTCTGCCGAAAATAAATTGAAGTAGGCTGTAGAGGATGAGGGCTGCTGCCACGTTTGTTCTGACTCAGTTGCTATGAGGGTTGAAATGACATTTTTTTTAGAGAGGCTCGATCAACAACGGAAACCTCAACTATCGTCAAAATCAGAAAAGTTAGCGAAACATTCTCTTACTCCCCGCCCTGACAATAGGAAAGTTCCTGACCAAAGGTTTGTGCGATATCTCGCCCCGTTTGGCTGTGACGGAAATATCGAAGTTTTCAATTTGGTCAGAAGACGTTTCCGCCTTTATTCATTGA